AGCGAGAGGGGGAGGGGCAAAAAGTCCTGGACAATGGCGGCTTGCGTTCGGCTGCCCGGAATCCGACTCGCGACGATTTATGCGACCTCGACGACGACGACGACGACGACGACGGGGCCCACCTCCTCCTCTTCTTCATCCTCCTCTCTTTCTTCCTCCGTCTTTTTCTCGCTCTGCTCTCTTGTCTCTCGCGATCCAACCCTCTCTCGTCTCTTCCGTTGAACGACCGCCACTCGAGAGGTGCATTCTACCGACAAGAATCCCAGGGCTCGAAAACCACCAAACTCGCTCGATCGCGGAGTATCGGGAGATCACGCTGGCTGAGAATCCGTCAGGGCACACAAAATCCCACGAGTTCAGATATATTTCCTAATTGTCGACTATGGTATTCCTTCCATCTTTTGATGGGTTTGATAATTACCACTTGAAAGTATGGTTCGGTAAACTATCGCAATATTTGAGAGAAAAAAAGAATTGTATATCAAACTAATTCCAGAAGAGTCTCTAGCGGGTCTCGTAGTAGTTTCAGACCGTCACATGTCAGACACACTGGCCCCTCTCGCGCCGCATTCTTCTTATTATCCATACAATTCGACTTCCACGGAATGTTTAAAAGGACCACAATCGCGACTACGATTCAGGTCTTGCTACCAGCGCTTGCGATCAACGGATTAAGCCAGGGTTCACTGACTGGCCGACTATCTTATCGCCTGGGTTACGTAATTCACTCTTCGAGGGGAATTCCGGATTCCAGAGGATCGTGAGCAAACCGTACTGGGATTAAGCTTTCTACGAGTGTTGGTCTTTCTCGAATCGAGACGAACGAGGCCTGCTGCGTCCAAGACCGAGGCATACAAGGCCACTTGATACCTCGTGCCCAGGAAGTGGCTTCATTGCCGTAATCGTTGTTGCGCACACTTCTTTTGTAGACGCGGTTAAGTTGGTTTATTCTTTCACATTTTCTAGAATGCTATTGGAAAGACCGAGCATTCGCGGCCTTTTGAAACATCCCATCCAGGAAATGGCTTCATTGCCTTAATTGTTGTTGCGTACACTTCCGTTCGTCATTCAGTTGGGTGGTTCATTCTTTCTTGTTCCCAGTTTTATTACGTTTTCGTCTTCTTCTTTCGCATGCATCCTATCTTCGTTGTACAGCTGAGGTGCATTATAGGTTAAGGATCGAGGCTGAATCGTAGAGCGGACCAATGTTTCTCTTACTAATATTCTATTCTTGGTTTCTACAGTGCCGAATAATGTCGTTGAACAAGCTAAAAATAAAACGCAATAACTTCTGTTCGGAGCTGTGGAATAAATTCGAGCGATGGAGGTTCGACGACGGGCTTCCGAAAGGAAGCCCACGACTCGATTCTGGATGTCATCCGGACGGTGATAGGGGCTTACGCTTGTAACGCAAAGCTCGAGTTTCGAGCCGAAAGTCGTTCGTTTCGGTACCGATCCGATCGATCCAGCGATTTCGGTGCGCGGCTCCCTCCAATCGGCCACGCGTCCGCGCGGGAACCTGTTCGCACAGAAGATCGGGGGCCTGGCACTCGGGCCCACAATATTTGACACACGGCAGCCAATCAGATTATCAGATTAAAGTCGGACGAGCCGAAGCGGCTCGATCGTCGGCACAGGTGCGATTCGTTTTGCCGGAGAGCGCGCGCCCTCCGATATCCTCTCCAGCGGCTTCTCGCCGCTATATCACGACACTCGTTTCGATGCGCGTGACGTCAAAGCAGAATTCCGCTCGAGTAACAAGCCACGAATGCGGATCAGTGTTGGAACAAAATGAAATTCACGATTGCGATCATCGAGTACGGATAGGTGCAGAAACATAAGGAGTTTTTAGTAGCCCAACCCATGGACTCCTAAGCTTGGGAAGCTTCCCCCTCGTTAGCCTCTAAGAACTATTTCAAAACACCGTGAAGATACCCTTCCAAATATACAGGATGTCCCAAAACTCGGGGAGGAGCCGGAAATGGGGGGTAGCTGAGACGATTCTGAACAACAATTTCCTTTGCAAAAATGTCGGATGAGGCTTCGTTAAGGAGATATTAAGCGAAAACCCCGACCAATCAGAGCGCGCGTAGACCGTTGGAGCGGCCGCGGTAGCGTAAGCTACGCGCTGGCGGCCGCGCTTGCACGCGAACAAGTGACTCGACGTGCATCGAAGCATCGACCTAGCGCGCTCTGATTGGTCGGGGTTTTCGCTTAATATCTTCTTAACGAAGCCTCGTCCGACATTTTTGCAAAGGAAATTGTTGTTCAGAATCGTCTCAGCTACCCTCCATTTCCGGCACCTCCCCGAGTTTTGGGACACCCTGTATTTTGTAGTGTCCGCGCCTCCCATACCCGACAATAAGGAGTCAAATAAGAATACGAAACGTAGGGTACGGGATTGGTCGCGTATGTAAAGCGATCGACTGTGGATCCGAGGATCGTGGCTTCGAATCCCCGTGCCTTATTTTTCGGTTAGACTCCTACAATTTATCTTTAACGTATCGGGTTATATTTCGTCCATCTCTTATTCTTTCTCCCATATTTGTTATCTAGACGACGCTCCGTCCATGGATGACGCGCTCCAGCGCTTCACCGTCGATTCCTCTCGCGCGCGGAACCCAAGCCGTATCGAAATTTTCGCCGGTGCGGGAACATTTGCATAATTATTTCCCAACGATGGCTCGCGTCGCGGCGTTAACGCCGAATTCATTAATATCGTATTTATCACGGACCATCGACTTCGTCGTTATCAGATCGCGGGATGGCGAACCAGCGCCGGAAGACGTTAACGCCGCTTTACGAGCACCTGTTCCGATAAAGCCTGCTGGACGTTTCTCCTCTTGGAAATACGAAAAAACAACGGGCGATCGTTACATGGGGCGCGCGAATCGTCGAAAAAAAGGGAGGGCCGTTAAAAAGCAACGTAGACGAACGCCTTATTGGGCGGGCAAGGGCTCCGTAGCCTCGCGATCCCTCCATAAAACCTGGCGACAAAGTGAGGAACGCGCTTCGTTTTACGGCTGCGTTTATGGTACCCGGCGGAGGGGAATCATCGACGGTGTCGCGATCGCGTCGACTAGAGACGACTCTGGTCTTATCTTATCCGCGGAACGAGCGGCCGCTCCCACGTTTTCTCGATCCTCGAGTTGCCACGACGGCGTCCTAAGATCCCGGGGAATCAGAATTACACGCTCAAGACCGCGCGCACTTAACACGCGCTACAAATATCGAGTCGATCGGTCCACTTCTGTTTGAGGGACGATGCGCCGCGATACGAATATATTCATAGTATGGCTCGAAGCCCTGGAACATCGAAACTAACTCGAAACTAGGATTCGAAACTAGAGCCAACTTACGCAAACGCATCTTTAACCATCGGCCCCCCCCCCCCCCAAGCGTTGGACTGTCCGCGTGAGAAACCTATGAAAGCCCCACGGGTGTTAACATAATCTCTCACGACTCTCTCGCGCGAACGCCAGTGGTAATTACGATTTATCTGCGATCGCAAGCGCGTGGAATTCGAGAGCCCCGATGCGGGATGGGCGAAGAACTCTCGAGGGAGACACTTCGCGACAACGACCTCTCCTGTGCGTCTGCCACGGGTCAGGATGCTTTTTAACCCCGGCGATATCGCGGCCTACGTTTCCTCTCTCGAGAGGCTTCTCTCTGCGATCGCGTGCGAACGGAGAGGGAGGGGAACGGGAACGCAGGACGATCGAGCACCAGGAGGACGAGGACTTGGCGAAAGAAGAGATCCGTTCTGGAGGAACGACCGAGGGAGAAGGAATGGGAGCGAAAGGGAGAGGCGAGACGTCGCCCCCGACGAAGGAGGAGAACACACTCGAGGTTCGCGCATTGATATGCAACAGGCTGCATATGCGGGCCATGGCGGACCGAACAATACGACCACCAGTAAGGCACCACCGTGTAAACTATCCACCATTCTCGAGCCTATAACGTAGCGCACCGTGCCGGTCGATACGCCACGAGACACTTTACACGGTGCATCGGGTATATGGCGCGGTGAGCGCAGGTCGTGACGCGCCGTATCTTGCATCGGATGTACCACCAGTGTGGAAACACGGATACGTACCTCTCCCGCTCTCCCAACCCTCCGTGGATTGCGTCCGCGTCGGCCAACCCACCCGTCCGCGACCTTACCCTCCTTCGTGTCGTCTCCTCGTCCCTTTCGTCGTTTCTCAGAATTCCGTTTCCTCGACCCGACTGCGGCCCACCTGTTTCACCCGACACCTCATTTTCTAGCTCTCCGCGAAACCCTTCGAGTTCAACACCTTTTTGCTATATAAGCTACGTTATCAAAGTTATTATAAATCCAATATCACGCCAGAAACGAAGTTACCAGCGATCGAGGATCACGGTCTCGCGACGGTTAAATACAATCGCTTCTAACCACCGTAATCTCCAAGTAGCAATACGGATAACGGATTCCACTCCTCGACTTGGCGATTTTCTCAAAAGGTTCAGAGGCCCGCGGTCCCCGTCGAAACGGATACCGCGTTCCTTCGCCGCCATCGCGCACAATAGACTCCCTCGTATGATTTACATGCCGTCGGTTCCCCCCGTCGACAGAAGAAAGAGGGATACAGGATACCCGGGCTCTGTCTCTTCGTATACGATCGCGAGGACCGTGGCCCCTCGACGTACTTGCACGTATACCAACACGTGGGCGTTCAGCTACGTCGTCTGCCGTTTTCTCGTGACGTGACTATGCTAACGCGGTAACGCCGCGCGTGGAATACGTTTTCGATGCATTCGGTCGACCAGCGTCCGACGGTCGCACCGAGACGAACGATCCTGGCACGCGGGAAGTCCTGCCACGAAGACAGTCCACCCAATTTCCACGGTGACCCAAGGATTATTTCTACTCCATCGAACTTTCCTCTTCCTCTACTCTACATTTCCATATTATAATAGAGAGAAGAAGCTGTATCCAGAATATTCTATAAATACAACGCGATATTATAACAAAATCTTACCTGATAACGAAGGTCCAGCCGCGTCCTTCACCTCTCCAACGTAACTATTCGGAGAGACAGTTTCCTTAACCGTAAGGGTGTACCGTGGTCTTTCGCAGCTAGCGATCCTGTGGCCAGGTGACGATATGGTGATCCTCACTTCGGCGTCCATGAGGCTCTTGAGACCAGGGACGTCCGTCGCTGTCACGTTCAGCTGATGCAGATGAGTTCGAGACAACAAACCGGGCCTGGCCACTTGCAGCTCGCCGGTGTTGTGATCGATGTGGAAAATTCCCGCCTCGTTGCCATTCGTGATTCGATAGGCGACTTGGCCGAACATCCCAGCGTCCAAGTCCGTGGCCACCAGCCTCAGGATCGGTCCCTGTATCGAACTGTCGTTCTTCAGGGTGACGTTGTACTTTCGAGGCTCGAAGACTGGGCGATTGTCGTTCACGTCCGTCACTTGGACCCTCACTATGGCCACGGTGGACAGTCCACCTGCGGGAAGGGGTGTGACCGATTAGATTCGGTGGAAGGAATTAAATAACGTAGTTGACGTTTGATTTGCTTGAAAATTAAATTCGTTATCGGTGAATTCCATTGTTATTCTTTGACTTTAACGAGTTTACAGGCTAGCGAATGGTAAGAACGAGGAACTCCAGGGATCGAGAGTTGGGAAGCACTGTATGTAGAACTCTCGGAGCGTTCGGCGCGGGGGCTAGGAGTGCGAACCCGTGCGATTATGTTTATTTCATTCTCCCGCGAAATCCTCTTATCGAGCCAAATAATGTCGGAGGACTCTCGGAGCCGGTCGACATAAATCACCAACCGCCCCGTGCCGTTGCCTTTTTTCGGAGCCAATCAGACTCTTACCTCCGTTCAACCTCTCTCCGTCTTGCTTGCGCAACCAAAGTTCATACCTTCCGTTTTTCTCTTTCGCTTTCTGCCTCTGCTGGCTTCTTCTCTCGTACGAGAGCGCGTGCTATCTTCGTTTCTCTCTTTTTCTCTGGCGCGCGTGTGTCGACGGTAGAGTTCTTACACCCCCGGTGCAGGGTAATGCGCTCGCGGTAATATTTCAAGCGAGAGGAATCTCTCCATAGCAAAACGGTCGCCTGGGCTCTCGCAACCGTCCCGAGGAGTCAACGCCGCTCTTCTTTTCTCTCCTCGCCACGGTTTTCGACTGCAATTTCACGCACGAATCGATCGATCAATACGCGTGCGCCGCGCGGCGAAAAAAGACCCCCTCGCGAGTCGCGTCTGGTTAGACTGTACGGTCAAGCCTTTGCCGAGGCGAGATTCTTCTTCGTGCCAGCGCTTGGATGCGGTGATATTTACTTCTTTTTCTGATCTCTCAGAAAACGACCGATTTATAGTGGATCCATTCATCACCGATCTAAAATCGTTTCCAGTGCAATCTAATAGGCGCGCCCTAATAAATTCTGGTTGAACCGTCGCGAGGATCGATTGAGCACCGCTGGGCAACCACTGTCCGCATAAATCTTCCGCAGGCACCGTATCCTTCGCCGCGCGAACACTCGAAAAGGACTCGTCCGACGATCGACCGCGTGAAATTAAAAGGGGTCGCTCCGCCGGGAGACGCTGGCTATCGGGATGCGCGTCGCGGTGTCGTTGACCCTCGCGCGGCGTCCAGGAAGCGGCATCGTTCGACGACGCAACGATATCCTGGTCTCGGATGTTCGGTTTTATTCGATCGTTAATTTGATCGATCTTCGGGGGCCGGATGCGCGTGGAATGTCGGTGGATCGTTTTCAGGCCCGTGTAGAGGCGGCAAGAGGGGTTGGGGGGGGGGGGAAAGAGCAGGACCAGGCCGTGGAGAGGAGCGGCTCGATAGAGAAATTAGGGGTGCATTTCTTCGAAGAGAATTCGCGTGGTCGAGTATCGCAGGGGCCCCAGAAGATCGGCATTTCGATACCTCGAAGTCGTACGAGAAGATGCCACGACGAGAGACGGCCGAAGGGTTCGTCGTTCTTTTCGGTCCTCGGCGTTGGAGGAAGAGGGAACGGGCGAGCCAAGAAACGAGGGGAGACTGCAGGGAACGGAGGGAAGGTGGGGCTGGCCCTTGACGCATGACTCCAATGACACTCGTGCCTATAAATCTCGTCGCGGTCCGAGCACCGGCGCGGTCGAGTCCATATATTACTATGAGTTACGGGTGTAAACCGTTTAAACATCGGATTACCCGTTTTACATACTGTCTTTAATATTAACACTTGCGTAGGGATTCGCCTAAATCAGCCCGGCCAAACCAGGAGCCCTGGCGTTATCGTCAGCGTCGATTAATTAATCCCCAGGCGCTCCGTCCGCGTTCGACGAAAGGAAGAGGAATCGCGCGAGCGAGCCAGCGCGCGCGCGATTAGGCCCCGACGAATAACGTGATTTACGGATACCGATCGTGGGGAGCGTTATTACTTCCCGTCCGACCGTATATCACTCGTTCACGGATCGGGGCGATACTTTAACGCCGCGAACGAATTATCAGCCGACTTTCTCCCATTCTTTTCGATCCCCGTCGGAACGAATAACGAACCGTGGCCGCGTTTTACCCCCAGTGTGCATCGCAGGGAGAACGAAAGATCATTCGTGAGTTAATAATCGGCCGAAGGAAGGTACAAGGTAGGGTGCAGGCCGGACCACAGGTCTTACTTGATCCGCAATTGGTGCGACTCGAATTATAGCCTGTTAGGTCCGCAGATCGTTGAACAAACGCATCATTTCTCCCAAGAAATGCAAATTCCTCGAATCATCCTCTATAGAAACAAGGTCACTTTCAGCGTAGGAGTTCTACAATTGACATCGCGATTCGGTTGCGCGTTAGCTAACGATCCGACGCGATAAAATCCCGTCGAGTTTTTAAATCTTTCGAGCTGACAAGCCACGAGCACGCGCAAGGCCAGAAAAGAAACGCTAACACAGAAAAAACCACGGCGGACAATGATCCTCCGGTGGGAGTTAAGTCTGAAAGATTTATGACTACGGTGTCAATAAAGTCACCGCCAGTGTCGTCCCGTGGCTTTCAGGAAGTTGCCGCAACTCCGGGCCGCGCCTTTCTTTGTATTTCTGCACGTTGGTCGTAGGACGTGCATCAAGATGCGCGGAAATGTTTCGCATGTACGCCACGTAATGCGTAATTTCCAGAAAGATGATACCATCGAGCCTGATCTCGGTTTCGTCAACATTACCGCGGTGCACGGAACCCAAATTTGAAGTGACGTCATGATTTTTATCCTGTCTAACGGGATTCTCCGAAAAAGACCCGAGACTTTCCACTTTCAGTCGAAATAAAATATTTTTGGTATATTTAAACACAAGACTTTAAAGATGTTTCTACGAAAACACACGAAGGTCCCGTGTTACCCTCAGGGGCTGTAGCTATGTTTGTAGTTACAGTACGGGTTTAGCGATCCCGAGGTACCCGAGCTATAGTAGAACCAGTAGATATGAGAGTTATGCAAGACAAAATAATATTGAGAAGAATGGATATAATTGCGTGTAAAGACTTTTATAAACGCTTTAATTAAACCACGTCGAGTTAAGAAAGTTCCGATAATTTGTCATTTTGGCATCGATTTTGATACGTGAGTTGCTCTTCGAGTTGCAGTTAGCGAAGGGAATTCAAAGTTTATTATTTACCGCGTTATCCAGCGATCCCCCAGGTGCCGGCGCCCAGAGTCTAGCACCGGTTCATCCGGTCGCTCCTACGTTTGAACGTAGCGACCGTGCTCAAGGAAGTCTACCCGCGTATCGTCCAGCCGTTCGCGGATCTCCGACTCGATTCAAAGCGGGGCCATCAGCAGGTAATAATTATCGACGTGGCTCTGCCGTTATCCGACACCATTAGCGCGATAGAGCGGCGCGTTTAGGTTATCCGCTGCTCCCTCCGATAGATGCTTATCGACGAGTACGTTCTCCGCCTAGGCCTAAGGGGATCTTCTACTCTAGCCACTTAGAGAATCATTCTTTTTTTTTCGCGTTTTCTTCAAGTTTCAGCTATTACAAATTACGATTTTAAATTGTAGAAACAGTTACATGGCTGGGCGAGTATTCTATCAGTAAGCCTCGACACTGAAGAACTCTAATTCCGTAAGACTCGCAGCACCGACACTCTTGCTTTTAGTGATTCGAAGTAAAAGACTCTCTAATTTTATCATAGTCCCAAGAGGTTCCTGAGAGTAAACGGTGTCGAAGCAAATTTTATCGAGGTACAGGCCCTGCTACCAAAGTCACGCAATGCTGATTTGGTTAGTAAACGCGCATCTCGAGAGACTGGGGATCCGTGGATCGTTCGTTCGGGTTAGCCGGGTGGTTCCGAGTCGTCAGCAGGTGGTATAAATCACGCGAAGTTGGCTCGCGTGGTGCACTCCCGTCATATCCGAGCGGTACTATTGTGCCGATGGTGTCGGCGAGCCTGGTAGCACACCGAACAATCGTATCGATAACGAGCGACAATTATGGACCGTAGTTCTGCTGTTTGCAAAACGGCATGCGGCCAACAATAGACCTTTCCTTTGCTGTTATCCTTTCGTCCTCTCCTCCATTCGTTCTCACATGGTCTATGCCTCGTTCTCTTCCTTTTCCTCCTATTTCATCTCCGCGGTCTAATTACCCTATTAATACCGGGGTCTTCCGCTTCCGCGAGTGTCTCTACTTTATCCTCTGATTTAAGGGGACTGATCTAACAAGTTGACATTCAGTACACTGGTCTGTTTACTCGGGAACTGTCCTAGTATCGACAATTGTAATATAACCACAAAGTGATTCATACGTAACATAGAAAAATCAATGTTTTTAGCGTGAACTAGATGTAGAATGCCGCGGGGATCGTTGTTCGATCGCAACGATAAGGAAGCTGCCACCTGTTGCAGAATGTCGACCTTCCCAGCGGATCAATGGACTTCAGTCATTGTCCTCTCGGGTAAAGGCAGCCTGGACGGAGGCTGTTGAAAATGGGCACACACCGCGTACACCGGCGACATAAATCATACACCCCATTATAGGGCTACTAGATCCTGGCACGGCGATAGGCTAGGCTCTTCCCTCGTTCCACCGACGCGGCTCCCGCGGCCGGCTTCTTTTTCTTCCCTGGTGCCACGTTTCCACCGTGTGTGTCGCGCCAAGCCGTGAGTTTCTTCTTCGTTCTCGTTTCTGCGTCTCTCACCTCTCCTCTACGAGAGAGATAAGACCGAGGAAAAGCATTGTTCGCACGCTCGCTTCTTTACGGGCTCCTATTTTGGTCACGGAAGATTCGTTACGGTACGCCAACGCTAATCGATCGACGTATCGTGCAAAAGTTAGGACGTACGCGGAGAGTTCAACGATCCACTTCTTTTCACACCGTGCGAAATGTTACGTTTACGTTGATAAACCTTGGAAAGACAATTTGCTTCGATCTTGCTCGATGAGGATTTCAGTCGTCGTCTACCGATCAAAGTGAATCGTTGCTGGAGCAGGAATTTCAAAGGTCCGAGAATTCTTGGAAATTCACGCGCTTAAATGCCTGTTCTCCGGCAAGAAACTGTCGCGACGGGGATTAACGCGAAGAAAAACAATGGAATTCACTGAAGGTATTACGGGCCTACGGTCAACGAAGGAGAGAGACCGAGAATACGTCGAACAATCGACACAGGTAAATGGAATCGATTGCTCCCACCTGATCAATTTCCTAACTATGAGACTCTATATTTTCAGACTTAATTTTTGTCTCGTGATTTAACAATACAAGCGAGAAATGCCGAATGAATACATACCTCTGTCGGTGGCGATGACAGGGATCTCCAGGTAGGGCGCCGTTTCTCTGTCCAAGGGTGTCCTGATGCAAATTTCCCCAGTGTCGCTGCGGACCATCAGCTGTTCCGTCTCCACTCTCCCTGCGGCCAGCGTGTAATTCACCATTGCGTTCACGCCGCAATCGGGGTCGGTCGCTTGCACCTGAAACGGTCGAGATTTCCAAATTAATTGCGGCCCGTTAAGTAATTGCAGGGTGTCGCGGCGAGTTGAATAAACAGGGACGTCGACGGACTCGAGGGTATCGATTAACAACGAAAGATTCACGAGTGAGGAGTCGACCGCTGGCGCCCATCTAGGGCCCAGAGGAGTCCTCAGCCAGCGGAGCGATTTGTTTAATTTCGTTCAACCTTCCTGAAACGGGATACCCGAAGATCGTCAGGGAGGTGGTCCGAGGCTCGTAATGCTGGACCACGGTGACTAATTTGCGAGTGGCTCGTTTGCTCCACCTCCCCCCGAGTGGATTTTAGGACGTTATAACGACGGACGTGGGGGCGGTGATGGACGCCTCCGTGCTCCCAGCACTTGTTATTTATGCGACGACGGATCGCCACCTCTTATCCTCGATGGATTACACGCTGCAACTTTTGTAGCCTCGCCAAAATGCGCGGGCATATTTTTCGGGTGCCTTGACGCGGACGATCCCTTGCTTTCTGGAGAGAACCAAGCGAGAAAGTAACTGCATTGTTGATGGATCCTCTGATCGATGCTCTCCGCCTAGCGTGATGAACGTGTCTGATGACAAGGCTGGACGAATCTACTTCTACCGTGTCTGAGCAATCTCGGCCGCACGACACTGTTGCGCGATGAATGGGATGGGGTTGCAGCTCCAGTCTCTACTTGTTTAACCCTTTGCTGTCCTATGTCGAGTGAGACACGACAGAAAATTTGGACAGCAAAAGGTTAAGGGCTGATTCTTTGAAAGTTGGACTTGAATCTTTGCAGCTTGGTGTTGCATGCACGTATGAAATATTTGTATAGAAATTAAAGTATTTGTCTCGAACCTGAAGATGGTGATCTCCGGCCAACGGTGCGTGATCGGCAGGTAGCAGGGATCGAAAACTGTCGATGGGATTACCGTTGGACGATCATTCATTAGCGCGGATCGGTCGAACAAGAGCGAAACCTGCCGCTCCGCTTTTTCTCTCGCTTCTTTTGAATTTTTCAAATTACTCCACGGAAAGGAATAGCGAATTCCACGGCCGGTTCGAGGGGGATCAACAAATTTCTTTCCTTCTGCGCCACGGCGTGTACGTTTTTTTCTCGAGAGTCTTTAACCTTTTTCTCGTCCCCGCGCTGTTCGTCGGGAGACTAGGGCGAGCCCGGCGAGCCGCAGATACCACGCAATGCCTCTTCAAGGTGGCAACAGTGTTGGCGGGAAAGTTATTCGACCGGCTGCCAGTAAATCATTCTTCGCGGACTCCTGCTTTATTATCTACTGTCTCGCTCGCTTCGGCTGCAGCCTCCGTTGCCTCCTTTTTGTCTTTCTTCGCCTTCGCTCGATTGGGACCTCTCTCTCTCTCTTTTTCTCTCTATCTCGCCCTGTGGATGGTATGCTCGAATGCTTGTTCGCCGAGGAAAAGCCATGAATAAGTTACATCGCGATTCTCGTAACTTTCAGCGCTTAATCGCGCGGCTGGCTTCTCGTCGGGGTTCCCCGTCACCGTCTCCGTTTCAGAGTCTGGGACGCGGTTGGCAGCGACCGAATCCACCGACCACGTAACGAAGCGATCGATCATCGATCGCTACCGACGAGCGATTTCTCGTTCCCGTCGATTCCAACGCGCGTGGAACGATTTCTTCGATGGGTGCTAGAATTAGATGGCCGGAGTTTTCGTGATCATTGTGATTCGAAGTGGAATGCTCGATAGATAGTTATGGTTATGGTCGCGATACATGGAACGTAAGCCATGTAAATATCTCACGATAACAAATGATGCTTCCCTTCTACTATTATGTCAATGTTGCTCCTCTTGCACGATGCATATTCTATTTTCTTTGAATCAATCCACCTAATTGATGGTTCACTGATTCCTACCTAACGATCCAATACCAGAATGAAAATATTTAACGCTGATTACATTTCAACCATGCTCGTGCTGCTGTTTTATTTATTTGGTTTCTAATCGAACATCGCCGCTACGTTCTCGTCCGACCGACGGCGTTAATGAATGATCGTCGAAGGGTAACCCCATAGACAGTTCTCGATCCCCGGCTACTACCTGCCGCTGACGCGTCTTCGTTAATCATTCGCATTAGCCATCGTTTAATCTCACCTTCGCGTCGCCTATTCCATGGACAACCAGTTTACGTTTCGCATACGATACTATCGTTGCCTGTTCGCTGAATTATTAAACTCGACGCGTGATACGGTTAACCGTGGGCTTGGTATCCTGTTACAAACACGCTGTTCACAATTTTCCAGGCTAATCCAATAACTCATGATGGAGCGCGACGATAGTTTCACTTTCTATCGACAGATTAATTCTCATTCGTTAGTGTTTACGCTCTGTGCCAGTTTCACGTGCGCTGCTACACCCCTCCAGTCCCCGCGACGCATCTGCATAATTTTCCAATTTAGATTTGCATCCTTAAATTGCATTCTCGCGTCTCGTATATCCGGACGGTTATCAGATAATCCCCTGGTCTTGGCGACGTCTTTTGTCGCCGGGATCGTTCCGTTTGTCGCTCTTGCGCATTCAACGTTTCCTTTCGCGACATCCTCGATGACTTTAAAGGCGTTACGCTCGCTTCGTTTAGTTCTTCGAGGTGTTTCGATCGGCTACTTAAGAGAATAAGTCGACAACTTGGAAATAGGACATTTATTAGCGACGCGTGACTTTAGGATACTAAGTATCTTCTATCTAAAAAGGTGAGATGTGTTGTGTCCGATTCGTTCCACGGATTTCAGTCGCGTTTCCCGTTAATTCTGCAGGTCTCTCGAGCGGAAACGAAGCAGGAGAGACCGGAGATGGGAGGAACGTACGCTCGCGGCAGGTTCACGAGAGGCTGTATTAAATCGCGAGCAGTTTTACCTGTTATTCCGCTGCCAGAGCGAATGTATACCACGCGATGCATTGTTCCCGCTGGTTTTGTTTCGCGTCGACCTTGCGGGGAATATCGATTTCAATCGGGGTGTATACGGAATACAATCCTCCGCGGGTCTCTTCGGAAAGGCCGTGCAACGTGCGAGCTGAATACACTCCTCGAATACAAACGCACACGAACGAAATACCTTCGCGCCCATTGCGGGGGAATCGAGCTCTCTTGTCTTCGAAAAAAACGTTCCTGGCACAAAGGCAGCTCCGATAAACGGGAGAGGGTTTCTATCGAATTTCCAATGAGTTTCCCCTTTCCGGATTCACGAGCAGAAAAGTGCAGAGCTTCTGAATGCAAATCGCGCGAAGCCTGACGCTTTGTCGCGTTTAGCATAAAAAAAGAATAAAGTCTTCGCCGAATACCATTTATCGTTTTAAATCCTATTTGACCCAGTTGATTATTCCTCTCTTTTTTTAAACTCGTTCTATAGGTGTGCTTTTAAACGATACACGAGGGAAACGCGACCAGAGGTCGAGGGCAATTACAGCCACGCGCTCGAGCGCGACCCGTCGAAGAGAATGGTCAATCGCGAGGCCATCTATCGCATGAACGGTCGGCGTCGAGGTGTATCGTCATCGCCAGCGAGGCACATAAAACACGACATACCAGATGCGGTTCGCAGAGTCATCCGCGATTTACGGCGATAACTTTAGTAGCTGGACAATTTGTACCTGTAACGGGCGGGCTGGTCTCTCGCATTTGCTCGCGTCGTCGCGAAATCGCGGTAAAGATGGAATCATCAAATATTAGGGTCAAAGAAAATAGCAGATTTTTCTTCCATGTTTACCTCAATTTAAACTGTATAAAAGAACGATTGTTTAAGAGTATCTAACAATGATGATAACTTGGTATACAGGAGTTTTCGGGGGTGTCGATTCCAAATCTGAACAAGAAATTTAGAAATCAATAGTTTATAACGAATATAATTGATTAAAAAGCAAGAGTTTCAAACCTACTTTCTCCCCGATGCATCCGAAGAGAAATAGTTACGAAAGAGGTAACAGAACGAGGTCGGAACGTTTAAAATAAGCATTTAAACGCATGCTCGTATCAGACCACGTCATTTCTCAATTGGATTTATATCCTACAGGCACTTATTATTGAATAATTAGATTCACAGGTGTCGATCTCGTGCGTAATTGCCAGACCGGTTTGCAACGCTCGCGATCGTGCGTTGTAGTTCATCTTCTGCTTCCAATTTCCATAGCGCTGCACGGCCGATCATAACAGCGTTCATTTCTTCGTTTGAATCCATTTAACCCTTTGCCCTCTGAGAGTATTATCAACATGATTAACGACTTCGAGGCAATTTTGCGGCGTAGTTTCTTTATTTAAAGTAGATTAAAAAATGTTCTCCCAGGTTAGAATGTCGCCGCGAGTGGAGTGCAATCGTACAATGGTTAATAGGTGGTTCTCGATCGAGCATTGACGGAGAGAAGGTTCGCGACGAGCTCGCGGCTTGATTAATGCGAGCGATTCAACGAGTTAATAGCCCCGCCTTTTAGTATTCCCTTCATAAGGAAAAAATATTCGTTAATATTGTATGAAATTCCCGCGCGTTAGGCTTACCGAAAGGCCTCGCATTCCCTGAGGTCAACGATGCCGCGCACCAGGCATCTTCGCCGTGCGTACACACCGCGCCGCGATACAACGATATTTCATACGATTATCCTTCACATCGTTGGGTTATTAAATCATCCCCAAAGGCAGTAGTATCTTCCTTTGAGCGGTCGTATAATCCACCACGGCGATCCATAAAACCGAAACGAACTGGAGCGCGATAGTCCCTAAGCACGCGCTTTGCGTCTCACCAAAATGCTGGAGCGTCCCGCGGCGCGAAATTTATTTCGTTTTCGGTGCACGCGCCTCATTAGCGATGGCAATATTGTTACCTGGCAATATTGTTATTAATATTGTTACTATCGTGGATCGTAACGTGTCGTATCGTGATTGTTACTAAACTGATCGAACTGAAATAAAAGTTTCAGAAGGAAGAACTTATACAAAAATGTTACGACTGAGGCTGCGACTTAGAACATGGTATTCATTTCTTTCGATTAATTAACGCTTATGGTAACCATCGTTTTGATTACCCATTTACCGCTCACTCGTTATTAGCCGCGTATCGATGAAATTCCAGCCGCGCGTTCCGATGCAAATCTCGTTCTCCGGGTCGCGATCTATCTCGATAACGGGAAAGATCGCAATTTCCCGCGGTCAGCGGTATCTATTCGAACCAACCATCAAGGTATGCTCGGTAGAACAGTGAGAATATATAACAATATTTCTATTTTTTTTATCAGTCCTCCAGATTAGCGCGTGCTTCTCTAACTGTGCTCGCGACGAATCCGTAGAATAGCGCGTGGCCTTTCGATACGAAAAGACTTCCTCTAGTTCTGGCCTAAGTCGCAGTCCTCGAGCTCCTCGAGATTGCGAAGAACGCGCGGATAGAAAGGAACAGCTAACGGATCGCGGACGAATACTTGTGGCATCGGTGGACGACTGTCAGTCCATCAGAGAGCCGGCGAGCCGGGAATACCGAGGATGGCTTCTCGGCTTGCTCGAGGAACAGCTCTATCTGTCGAGCTCGAGCTGGCAAAAACCGGCGGCCCGCGTGGTCGCACGCACGACCAACGGAAAGCACCGGGACGACGGGGGGTTAGGACCCGAGCAACGGAGAAAAACCCTCGAATACCGCTCACCCGTGTCCAGGAGGGTGGTGGCAGGAAGCAAGGACGAGGAAGGACGGCGCTACGCGACGCTGCAGGTCCGACGCAATTATAATCGACGAAACAAATACAACAGTACGTAGCCAGAAAAGTTACGAGGAGTCCTCAAGTCCCCCTCCCCCCTCCCCGTCCCTGTATCGCACAGGAGAGTGCATCCCGGCGATTCCAGGAAACACTCGTTCGCTCGTTACGTAGGGCGTTTTTATCGGTTGTAGTCGCGTTTAAAATTCCTGTCGTTTGCACGTAAGAGCGCCTAATTGCGCGACCACGCGATGCCAGTGTCCCGCGCGCACGCGAGCCCTGGCTATCTACCTAGAGAGGAGGGAGAGCTCGAGGACGAACCGGAAGTTTCGTGGGTGGACGCCAGCCGGCTACGCGCCACGACCCTTTGTCACGCGAATTGACATGCAGAAACGACGGCTGGGTAGCCGTCACGTGACTCACCGCGGGTGTGCGACCGCACAATTAGCTGGATGCGTATTCCGTTTGCATAAATAAATATGCGCGTGTTTGCCGCCCCAACCCTCCCTCCCGCCTCGCGCTCTCGACCTCCGCGGTCTCGGACTGCTGGCGTCTTTCTCGTTCATCCCGACGTCCGGCGTCCTTCTTCGACCGCGACGACTGCCTCTTCGTTCCTCTGCTGCCTCTCGAGAGCGTGTGCGTGGCTGCGTGAGCACGTACGCCGCAAATAGACGGTGAAAAATCGCGTGCCGCGAAAATAAAAGGAAGGGAACCCGCGCGCGTGTGAGAAAATGAGAACGAGGAGAAAGAAGGAGCGGAAGAAGCGAAGTGGCGAACTTGGTTTCTGTATCGCCAAATAGAGCGCTGCCGCGGACTAATCGAAGTGGCGATTTTTTTCCAACGGGGGCACAATAACCATTCCGACTGAGCGTTGCGTGCCTCCGCTTGGAATTCGCGGTTTTATGCGTTCCCCGCTCCGGTTTAGCTGGACGTAGGCTCGATAATAGAACGCTTAGAATCTCGCGGTAATTGCATCGCAGCGTAGAGTGGTCATTGCGAAAGAAACGAAATGGTAATCGAGTGGAGGATGGCGGAAGGCCGTTGTGGGATTCCGCCGATGAGGTCTGCTTACGTCAGCGGGCGACTCCATCGCGGGATAGAGTCAAGGCTCGTCTTGGAAGCTGCGGTATCTAATGCTGTATTACAGAAACAGTACAAGGCCTGGCATCTATCAAGATGGCAGGTCGACTACGATCTCTACCATGTCTTTTCCAGCCTCGACCAAATTCTCGCGCGAATAGTCGATAGCAGGTTCATTCCCAGGCATCGTCGCTCCACGTCGACGGCTTTCCTCTTTTGGAATAAGCGACGGCTGAATTCGCGAGGCGCCCGCGCGATGATCGCGGACGCTCGTTGCCGCGCGATCATCGACAGCTCGTACAAGCCGCGTGATATCCGTGACGTTCCGATATTCCTTATCCAACTCCATAGAAAATCAACGTCGATGAACCCGTTGTGCTTCTTCGCGTGGCAGAATCCAGGAAGACGCGACCAGAGGGAGAGGAAAGCCATCGCGCCGGAGGGTGGGCGAAGGACGTAGAGGAGACGGGAAACGCGAAGGTTGCAAGCTCGGGAGAGAGAAGAAGAGAGAAGGACGAGTTGTCTCTCGCAACCGACTCTCCAGGCAACAGTGAGTGACAGCTCTATAGAGTTCGTCGGGTTGGTAGCATTGTGCGGGACTTCCTCTCTCTCCTCTGGCTTTCCTGCGCGGTCACTTTTGCCGCGGCGCTGTTGCGAGCTCGTATGTAAAGCGTCGTACCGGCCTCGGTACCGCTCACGACATTTAGTACCGTACGTCGTGTATACTGGCTGTAACTGCGCCGTGAGACGAGCTCTGCTACCTCCTCGAACACCGAGCTCGATTATCTTCTTGTCGCGGACGTTTTAGAACCGTTCCGGAGGCCTCCAGGACTCCACTTGGCACATCCTTCAGCCTGGTCGCAATGGACGACCAGAAACTGGATCGATACCATCGATAAGAAGGGCCGTTTAACACTCGACATTTTTCGTAGTAGTCAGACTAACGAATAGTTGTAAACCGCGCAAAATCTACGCAACAGTTGATCGATGTCGCGCGTTTGGAGGTTAAAGCGACCCCTCCTCCGTTACAGAGCAGCTTATTAGCACCTTGAGCGTACATTGGCGAAACAAAAAGTCGATAGACTCGGCGACGTGTCCTCTCCCCCCCTCTCCCATGGAAGAAGAAGCTGTATGGGACCTCCTCTTAACCTTTGCTCTCGGGGTGCGTGTTTTTGCCGCGGAGCAGCAAGCCGAGAGGCGAGTCGAACGGTGCGCTGGCGGGTCGGTGGCCGGTAATTGCGATGAGATATGGCGGCCACTTCTCATTAAAATAGTTTAATATGTATTTGTCAAGCTATCACCGCGACGTATGTCCCGC